TTGTAAATTTTAACTTTGTATTCAATTGTAATTATATTGTTTGATAACAGTAATAGTACCAAACATAGACAATCTACATGTATAACAATATTGCAACCAATGCCATTTCCAGGACACTTAACGGTCGCCCAAATCCGACACCATGCTTGTACACTCTATGTAAATCAACTTTCAAGTTTGCCTTAGTACTGTGGCCTATGATAAAGGCAACCATTCTGTTCAAAGGACTCATACAGGTCACAATTTTGTAATTTTAAAGACACACAACATATACATGGAAATGAAATCAAACCATCGCAAATAAAGTTGAATCTACGTTACAGAAAAAAAATCACGTTTTATGCTCCAATAAATGACTTTGATATTAAGCTGCAGGGCATAACAATGAGCTTAAGAGTCCTATAATAGCTGCTGGAGTATGTTACATCAAGTAATATATTGATTTCCTATATCTCAAACAAGACCTGATTTATTTTGATGTGAGAAGGCTTATCATTTGTCGTAAAGGTCAATCAGTTCAGAAGAATTTTAGGGTAACCATCTCAATCTTGAACTCAAAACGTCTGGTAAAATCAGAAAATAAAGGATAACACCTTTTAATATATTTGTGAGATTTATTCTATAGTAATCGAAGGTATAAAAGCCATGATTGATTGATTGACGCCATTGATAAACAATAACATGTAATCTAATGTTTACATTGACAACCGTAAAAAACCTAACTGTTGACATTCAATATAGAGAATAAACATGGCGAGTAGAGATATTGTCTACATTTATTGCTGGGCTTGTTCATTATTTAACATTACTAGTAATCAATATTATTCAAGTTAAAGATCTTGTATAAGAAATCAGGCTATGATAAAAATGAGTAAGCTAATAAAATAGCTTTGACAAAGTGTGCTTTTTACCCAAAAAAAAACATTCTGGCTTAACTGGGCTAATTACATTGATAAAAAGGATTGCAAACAAGTTGTTTGTGCATTGGGACACTTAAAGCTCCTTTCTTAAATTCCTGAATCACAATTCTGTGTCCCATCTAGTACGAATTTTCGTCGATCTTGGATGGCGGGCGAATCAGCCCTCAGA